AAAAAAAAAAAAGAACAAGGATCCAGAGATCCTTGTCTCTGACCTGGATAACTGTGCTGTAAGTAGGGGGTTGGAAGGTGTCTGGGTTCATGGTCTTTTAGGAATACAAATCTGTGTTTCCAAAGAGGACTAGAAATGGGCCTCCTTCAATGCAGACAATTTGGGGTCAACCTACAGCACTTAGTTTATCAAACTAAATTATTTTTCAGATTTTATTCTACCAAAAGGAAAAATAATCAAGACTCTTATATTTGGGTGTTTATATTCAAATAGACTGGGAAGATAAACATGAAAGTTTAATCTGCTCATATGTTGAACTCCCTGCTAGAAAACAGATGTGGGTATCCTTAGTAAGTGGGCCAGCCTCTTGTTCATGAGGCCTATTGCTGATGTAGTTAGCCTTGATTTCGTAGGTGTAGCTATGAAATTTGAAGAAAAAAAGACATATCCCTTGGATCCTAAATACATTTCTACAATCCCTGTTGTGGGTCTTAAGGAGCATGTAGGTTCCAGGTGCTCCCCAATAATCCCAATGGGAAAGTACTGAGATGTTATCTTCTCCTGGGCTAAACTGCTCACAACACCACCACCCTCCCCTGCTTATGTCAGCTTAGAGGCTTGGTGGAGGACTTTTTCTTGCTGGAGGGATGGCTCACTGAGAACAGTATCATGACAGAGTCAGGTCAGTTAAAGTGTTAAAAATAAGCAGGCTTTTGCTTCCCAAGTTACTGACACCTCACCAAGATGAATCTCAGAGAATCTCAAATCTATGTAATGGATGTCTTATCTTTTTGGGAGCAGGTTCCGCCAACTATCATGCTTCTATAGATCTTGTTCCTCATAGCTACCTTCCTCTTTGACCTGTGGGCTTTTACTTACATTCTATCTGGAACCTTCTTTCTCTCTAGGCTTTGGCTGGCTAACTCCTCATTTTTCAGGTTTAATCTTAGACATATGTTACAAGGGACAAGAAATTCCTATCCCAAGCTGCCCAGTGCCCTCACAGTCCCCTGTCCTCCATCATTGCATTACTCATAAATACAATCATTGCATTTTTTGCTCTTCTGTATTTCAGACTAGATATTAGACTGTAGGTTCCTTAAGGTATCTTAGCCTTAACCTTGTGCCTGGCACAGAGTAAGTCCCCATGAATACTGGCTGAATGATGGCTAGATGTTCTCAGTACCAGGTGTGGAAAACCACAAGTATTCCTATGCTCATCAAAGAAGTGTCACTGATAACTGGAAAGGAGCCCCAGCAGCAAGGTGGTTTCTAGCACTTGAGCAAGAATTAGAACATTTTGAGTCTTACATTCCCTGATCACTCACCTGACTGCAGATTCCCTCTTCCTGGTGGCATCTGTGATGTGCACAGGGAGGGTGTTAGCAGAGAGGGAAGCAAGGCCACTCAGAGAACGACTCCTTGGCAGGGGTGTAATTGGTGGCTGTGGAGAATCC